ATATATATATATATATATATATATATATATATATATATATATATATACATATATACATACATACAATACCACTCCCCTCGGTGTATGTTCATTGATGTGATTAATCAAACTCAGTTAAATGCAAACGTTAGTTCTCTTTATTCAGAAAATCCATGCGTCACATCTACATTTTAGGATCTAGACATTATAGACACAGATTAAATGTTAAATATGAATATTTCCAAATTTATTACCACAGTGTTACACACGTAGTTGTAAATACACTTTACCATACCATACCATAGCACTTTATTTATGGAGCACTTAAAACAGCGACAAGGCCAACCAAAGTGCTGTACAGACAAAACAACAGGTAACACACCAAGCAATACACAAAATGAGGTAAATCAGAATATAGACATAAAAACGATGCAGATAATGACGACAAACCAGTGTGGAGCGTACAGGATCAAAACACAGATCATCTGGTGTTGAAAACCACCGAATAGTAGTGGGTTTTTAAACGGGACCGAGAGGGAGGGGGCCTGTCTGACAAGCAGAGGTAACTCGTTCCAAAGTCTTGGTCCTGCTACAGAGAAGGCCCTGTCACCTCTGCGCTTAAGACGAGATCCTGGAACTGTGAGGAGCAACTGGTCCGTTGACCTCGGGGTACGCGGTGGGACATATGGTTGTAGCAAATCAGAGAGATGGGGGCGGCGAAACTGTTCAGTGATTTGTAGACATACATGAGTATTTTGAACTGAATTCGAAAGTGAACCGATAACCGGTGCAGTGAGGCCAAAACTGGTGTAATGTGCTCTCTTTTGCCTGTACTGGTTAAAAATCGGGCTGCTGCATTCTGGACCAGTTGTAATCATGCTATAGAGGTCTGACTGATACCAAACAGGAGTGAATTGCAGTAATCAAGCCTAGATGTAATGAATACATGTATAACTGTCTCTAGGTTTTTTTTTGGTCAATATGAGCTTCAGTTTAAACAGCCGCCTCAGTTGGAAGAAGCATGATTTAACAATCATGTTTACATGATTGTTAAGTTTCAGGGAAGGGTCCATTATCACGCCCAGATTAGTGACTCTTTGTTTTTCTGACAGGGTTAGAGCGGAGAGGTCGATGCAGTGGTTTGTGATTGTGTCGTTGGGAGGGAACAACATGACTTCAGACTTCTTTTCATTGAAACTTAAGAAGTTTAAAGCCATCCAGTCCCTGATGTCAGCCAGGCAGTCGAGCAGAGGTTGAATAGAGCATGTGCCATTGTGTCTTACGGGGAAGTAAATTTGACGATCCACCTCCGTGGAGTCGTTGTGTTCACCTGGAGGAGACGCTCCGGTGCTTTGAAGCGCCGCCGGACCGGAGCAGAACCGCGCCGCCGGGCTGCCGGACCGGAGCAGAACCGCGCCGCCGGACTGGGCCGCCGGACCGGAGCAGAACCGCGCTGCTAGACTGGGCCGCCGGACCGGAGCAAAACCGGGCCAGGGATATCTTCAGCCTCTTCGTCTCTCGTGCTTGGAGCGCCGGAGCCGAACTGGAGCAGAACCGGACCGGACCAGTTGCCGACTTCAGCCTCAGCCTCTCCGGTCAGTCTCGCTTTTCACCGGGGGTGCCCCGTGCTGTCGGGTGCTGAGAAGCGGAGGAGCAGCGTGGAGGAGCAGCGTGGAGGAGCAGGGCTGCGTGGTGCTCGAGAGAAGTTCGGAGTTTGTATCGGAGCTGCTGCAGGCCTCCATCCAAACTCACCTGGATAATAATTAATTTTATTCCGGATCACGTTGTTGGCCCCTGTTGACCTGAAACGAACTTGGACCATGCCTTTCACTTCAGGAGGATTTTCTGGCAGCTCGCTCTGCTATTTGCTGCAAATTTTCTGTTTCTGTTTCGGCCTGTTGATTCTGGACCCAGCTTCTGTTTCTCATGGGAGCATCCATCCATCCATCCATCCATCTTCACAGGGGGGCCGGAGCCCCCCTCAGCCTGACTCAAACTGCAGTTGGGCCACCTCGTCGGGTTTGTTTGCCCATTTGAACTGTGACATTTTATGGTCTGAATCTTTTCTGCATCATTCATATTACTGTCACTATTTTCAGTTCTCAGATTATCTGGAGTCACTGAATCTTGTTAATACACCTGAATCTGTCCATCACTGCAACTTTCACTGTTTTTGGGTTCTGAATGATCGCGTCTTCATTAATGTTTCTCATGGTTCGATTATGGGGGCTAATTGTCACACTGTTAACTGCTGTAATTACACATCAGTCACAAAAAACTCAAGAAAATGTCTGATAATAATGTTGTTATTGCTCTCAGGAATTCAACCCAATCCTGGACCCCCCACTAATTACAGCACACCAAATGACTTTAAAAACGCCTCTGGGCTCCATTTTCTGCATGTAAACGCTCGTAGCCTTCTGAAAAAACTTGATGCTGTGAAAATCCTGGTCAGTTCTTCTGGGGCAGATGTTATCTTTATTTCTGAGTCCTGGCTCAACAAATCTGTAATGAATAATGACGTGGCAATCAATGGATTTAACATATACCGCTGTGATCGTCAAAAAAGGGGGGGTGGAGTCATTATTTACATTAGAGATACCCTGGTTTCAAGTCTTGTGACTTTCAAAACAATTCCAAACCAGTTTGAAGCCTTATCTGTAAACATCACCTTGAATGGAGGCCAGGTTTTAACTGTAGTCTGCTGCTACCGCCCCCCCACAGCTTCACCTGAAGCATTAAATGCCATTAAGGAATTCCTTGGTAATTTAAAATTCACAGAGATCTTTTTAGCTGGAGATCTCAACATTGATTGGTGTAAGTCGACCCCCCTCTGTGACAA